AGTGGTCTTAAAATCGTTCGTAACGTGACAAAAAACAGAGAACGATTTTAAGAGAAACGTAATTATCATTTTAACGGCTAATGGCCGGATGTGACAGCCACACTTTTCCCGATTGCAGAATCACGCACGAGAATAAAAGAAGTGTATCCGGGAATCCGGTTACTTTCACGTTCAAGCCTGCCTTGTTCTTAGTTCACTATGAAATCAAACTAAAAGTACTATTATTTCTAGGGTAAAGTTGGAATAAAAATTTTAATTTAAATGGAATTTTAATCTGACGAGGAATATATATATATATATTAAAGATCAAGCGAGAATTTGTCCAGCATGTTATAAATGTTTCAATTTCTTGAAACTTCGTGATGAATTGTAAGAGAAGACGTAATAACGAAAAATATTAAGCGAATCCTTGGGCTTGCCTTCAGAGTCTCAACATAAAGAAAGTAGCATTTTGATAACCGAAATGGACTGAAAAGAATTACAGTTGAACAAATACATTACATGTGCATTATAATCGCTTTGGGTTTTGCAAAAGCGAAACTAATTACAAAAAATTGAGCAAGCGTGAAGAAAAGTGTAGTAACAACGAATTCCACTTTGTCTTGCAACATTCATAGATGAATAATTATCATAATTATCATAATTATCATAATTACAATTTCTAATTCTTTGAAATCGTTGATGTTACGCGTATATAATTCAATCTCTTTTTTCAACAAAAGACACCTGATATCAGTGTTTGAATACCAATAGATCATATGCAAATCTAAACATATTGAAATATTCAGAAATGTCACAAAATTTCGTTTTCTCTTAACGTAAGGAAACGTTATATGACTGAACGGAGATGTAGTTACAACAAAAAGCAGAGACACTTTTTTTTCAGCGTTGAAAAACGAAATTAAAATATTAAAAGGAAATTCAATATTCGTCGAACTGTGCAACGCATTCGTCTTTAAACATGTTAAAATCATCGAACGATTTGAAATTGCATCGAATTGCATTAATCATTCCGATAATTACGTACGATTACTAAATTTCAGATAGTTAATAAAATCATTATCACTGAGATACTTGTCAAGATTGATAAAAAAATTCTATTAACTCCTTGTCTCTTAATATCGAATCATGGCATGAATTATGGTACTTGAAAGAAGGTGCAATCCTCTGGAATTTCAATTGAAATTTGAAATTTAAACTCTTTGCAATCCTGTCGAATTTTACTAGAATGAACAAGTATAAGTTATATACAACGTTCTAATATTCTATATCTAACATCGTATTGCAATTACAACGATTAATTCCTGCTCTTTATTAAAAAAAAAATCTAACAATCGCTTCAAACAATCTACTTTTTATGAGGAAACACAACGGTGAAACGCCAAACATAAAAGAATAAAATTTCCAAAACCCAAAAGCATGGTTTTGAATA